GGTTGGCTAGGGCTGAGTTTAGTTCTAATTTTTTTTTCAAACTTCCAACTTTTTTTTACGGGGTTCAAACTTCCAACTTTTCCATCACATCAAAATTTTTCTTAAACTTTCAACTTTTTCGTCACATCGTTTCAATTTCAACCAAACTTCTAATTTTTGTGTGAACTAAACACACCCTAGCTGACGGCGTTTGATTGATCTGGTCGTCGTCCATATGAATTTCTGACGCGAATATGCATGATGATCGATGATGATTCGCTCAATCATTGGTCCGCCATGGGGAGCGATCATATCGATCGATGATCGAGAGGCGCATGCATATGCAGATTCATGGATGCATGCATACTACTCCCTCTGTCCCAAAAAAAAAGACAAACCCTGGATTTTCGTGTCCAACGTTTGACTGTCCGTCTTATATAATTTTTTTATAATGAGTATTTTCATTGTTGTTAGATGATAAAACATGATTAATACTTTATTTGTGACTTGTCTTTTTAATTTTTTCTCATAATTTTTTAAGATAAGACAGACGGTCGGACACGGAAATCTAGGGTTTGTCTTTTTTTTTGGGGACGGAGGGAGTACACGGTTTTGTGTGTTTCTCATTAATTAATTAATAATGTGTGTGTTCTTCTGCCAGTAGTCGATCGATCGTCGACATGTTCGTTGTTCTTTTATGTCGGAGATGGCGTGTGGGTTTCTCTCTTTTAGAATGTTGTAAGTTGTTGCTGAGCAGCTAGTTGACAGTTGACCCAATATATAGATTTGGACTTTTCTTTTTTAGTTGTGGAGTGTTGAGATAGATGATGATCCGAATATCTGATAGGTCAGACTTCACTCTCACCTCTGTTTTTGCTTGATGAACATTCATGGAATAAATCCCAGCATCGGCATCTACAGATTGCACTCCGTCCAGTTGTAATATATTTGACTTTTTCGATAATATTTGGTCAAACACTTTAATTAAAACTTCAACCGTTATCTTTATATTGCAATAAGATCATAATATAAATCTAATAATTATATGAGAATATATGATGTACTTTATTTTTTTTTCTTTTAGCTAGGTATTTGATTATTTTTTTTCGCTGCGTACAATAAATAGAGATTTGCTCCAGTCCAACAAAAAGTACCTTGGGATATCGGTATCTCACGGTATCAAATCGTTTTCAACCGTTGGATCTAACAATATTGTCCATCCTATCCAGTTAGATCCAACGATCGGAAACGATTTGATACTGGGAGGTACCGATACCTTGAGATACTTTTTGCTGGATCGGAGCAAATCTCTCTTTTTCCAAACACCCGTCCTATTCATGTTAGGATTGGCTTTTTTTTTTACAGAGTAGTAATATTTATGATAAGAGAGAAGTACATGATACATCGTCTAGTACTGGTTGGATTATGCAATAACAAGCTTAATTAGATATGAATATATGATCACCCTGATGTGCTTAGTTTGTCATCAGTTGCATGCATTTTTCTGATTTCCCAGATATGCAGGGTCGATCACTCTCGTACGTGCGGATCAATCACATACAGTGGATCCATATATCTCTTGTCTCCACGTTCAGTTTTTCGGTGCATTACCTGTTCTTTCAGAACTAGTCCTTTTCGCTACATAGCTGCTGCTGTTTCTGCAGCAGATCGATCAAGATCACATCAGATCAAAATCCAACCTTTAGCTAGCACCAGCAGCTAGCATCAGCTAGTAGCATCTCTAGCTTTTCTACTACTGCATCACATAGATTTTCTCTTGGTCTTTGACTAGTAGTCCCTTTTAAGTTGCCCCTTTGGAGATCAGTTGGCTCCGTTCGTTTCCACTACAAGCAGTGGATAAAGATTTAGATATTCGTGGTACGTTTTTCAAACTGCTAAACGGTATGTTTCGTGTGAAAACTTTCTATATAAAAGTTGCTCTAAAATACCAGATTAATCCATTTTTCAAGTTTGTAATAATTAAAACTTAATTAATCATACGTTATTACAACATCGTTTTGCGTGAAACACTTTATCCTCATCTTCATCTTCAGTAGATTCAAACACCACCTTATATGTGCATATGCATGTTCTGAATCCTCATCTGAATGGGACAAAACCAACACATCTGAAAGTTACTTGTCATCGAAAATCTTGCAAACCGATCTCTGCACGTATGGTCGATCGATGCATGAATCTGGTTATATAATTAAGCAAATTCCCGGTCAATCAACCGACATATCGCTATCGTAAAACATGGTGATAAAGTTATAAACGAGCAAGTTGTGTGCGTGTGTGATACTTACCCCTCATGTGTAGTGTAAGGAGTGGTCTCGATCTTCTGAATTAATATAAAGTAGTAGAGCGTGGTATTTTCTGAATATACAGTGTTAGTAGTATATACTCCTATGTCCTAAAATAAACCAATTTTTCGCATTTCGAGAGAGTTTTAGTAGCGAGGAAGAAAGACAAAAGTATCTCTCATCAACACAAAAGTAGTATTGGTGGTTATGTAGGTGAAGTGTGTTGATCGGATAAAAATAGCTCCTTGATTTATAGATCGATGGTAGGTAATCGAAGGAGATATGAATTGTTTTATTTTGTGACAGTTTAAATTTTAGAAGTTGATTTATTTTATGACGGAGAGAATATCTTTGATCTTAGATAGTACAGAGGAAGATGCCATTTGTACATTGACAAGATAGGATCATACGTAAGATGGGGGCCAGTATGAGGTACTAGTGTACTGGCTGGGATAGTACGATGATCAGAATTCAGAAGTAACAATGTTTCCTGTGGTAGGCACAGCAATGCTCAACAAGGCACATGATGGTTATTGGTAATATGGATCTGGGAGGGATACCTAACATGCATAATCTTATCATCTCCAAGGACCACATATGTATGGAGCTAGAGGAAGAGGAGAAACCGTTATAGCTTAGTCCCTGCCTTTTCAATCCCCTCACTACCTGATCAGTTCATGCATGATATCATGTTTGTTGTATCAATCTTTCCAAGTAAAACCAATTGCATTTAGCTAGTACTAGTAGATTGGCTGACATGCATGAAGAGATGTCAAGCTGACATCTCACTCTTCTCCCATTGAGTCAAATTGTTAATTACAGATTTTTTATGAACCTTTTAGGCGACATATGCAAAAGAAACAACAGATCGATGTCCCCTCGACGGGCAAAAATACTTTCTCCATTTCGAAGGCTTATCTTTTTCTATGGCTAATAATAAGCCGAGGACACATGATCAATCGAGTAAACTGAGTGACAATAACAACGAAAAAACTCCTAAATTAATTCTAAAAATAGACTTTGCACTTTCCTTAACGGTCCAAAAGCCAATGCCGAGTGACGATAACAACAAAAAAAAAAACCTAAATTAATTCCAAAAACAAAGTTCAAAAGCGTAATACTGGCTAAGACTTATAAGCCACAACTCAAACCAGCAAACTATAGACCTTTTTAATTACATAATGGAAGTATGTGTAATTTCATCTCTCTTGTGTCTCTAAGGGACTGTTTAGATCCCTTGGCAAAATTTTTCACCATGTCACATCGAATGTTTGGACGCAAGCATAGAGTATTAAATATAAATGAAAAAACTAATTACACAGATTGCGTGTAAATTGCGAGACGAACCTTTTAAGCCTAACTGCTCCATGATTTGACAATGTGATGCTACAGTAAATATTTACTAATGATGGATTAATTAGGCTTAATAAATTTGTCTCGCAGTTTATAGGCGGAATCTGTAATTTGTTTTGCTATTAGTCTACATTTAATACTTCAAATATGGATCCATATATCTTATGTGACACGCCAAAACTTTTTAACCCTGGATCTAAACACAGTCTAAGAAAATCTACTTACTAACTGGGAGATAGCTAGATGTAGGCCATGACTGTATCACTGCAGTATATATACTTAATATTCAGACTTTATTTTAGCCGGGCCGGCCTAAAATAGGCGAAATTTACTTAAGAAAGGGGTTAATATTCAGACTTTAATTGGGATATATAGTTACATACTGTGCATTAGGATGTTTTAGAAGTACAGTTTTGCCGATTGGCTGGTGTATGTAACCAACGCGATGCATGGTTGGTGATGTCGCTTTTGAGGACAAGCATATTCAATGGCAGAAAGAACCACCCGATTGGTAGATCAGAATGAAAGGTGTCTATGTCTACTGTCTAGGCATTTAGGAAGAAGCAAGCTGTGTTTCCATGGTACAAAACAAATCTGAAGAGGTATCATGGGCTAATTAATGTGCAGGGTCCACTGACTAATAGCATAAACAGAGTTTTTAGTCAGTTTAATTAGCTGAACACCACAAATTAAGCTTACAATCATTTGTTCATGAGATTAGAATTAGCCTTACTCAGTACACCATATTCTTTCTTTCTACTGAATTTTGAGTTAGAGATTGATACTTGTCAAGGTAATTTACATATTATGAAAATTACGGATATGGTAAACGACGTACCTATCGATAATAAGGTGTCCATGATAACTTAATCAATAAGATATACCGACCTAGTCTCTAAGAGGTGTTTATAGGTTAAAGGTGTGTACATTCATACAAGTGAATGTGCGTGCGTATGTGAATGTTCACGTTTGTATCATGTGTTTTAAAAAAGTCATTAATTTTTAAGGTATTATATGACACAAAAATAATAATTTTAAAGAAGTTGTACTACAGTTCATCATGCATAATGGTATACTCCTACATGATAAATCCAACTAGTCAAAGAGAGCTTAAGGACATAAAGTCAATCAACAGGTTGTTCACGGACTCCTCCCAGTGCTCGCCCATAACTGATGCAGGACAGCAAGGGAACAGACTAAAAATCCATTAAACGCCATTGTTCTTTGCTTTTGAATTTTTTTTAACGCAACAGTAGAAGGATTCTCATTGTAACATGGTAAATATTTGCATAACTTGATACTGAGACCACCGCATACAGCTCTGCTTTTATTTTATTTTTTTTTGGAAAGAAATAATCACCACACTTAGGAACAGTAGCAATAGCTCTCTTTTTATATTAACAAAATAATTTCATGAAGTAGAGTACAATGGTGGTGGCAGTGCAGCCGTTGAGGAAATCTTCATGGGCAGAACCTAACCAAATAAGGAGCTACAAAATATTACAAAGTCTCTGAAAAATGTGTAGAAAACTCTACTCGCTTGCTGTTCTTCCCTCCAAAATCCTCTTACAATGTTGTAGACTGCCTCCAGACAAGGGGATGGACTAGATCCAACATCTCAAACTTATCTGGTGCATTGCATGCTCCTACCAATCTTGCAGCATTATTATTTCCTCCTGTTCAAAATTTCAGAAGACTTTTATATATTAGAAGAAGCAGTTAAGAGAAAATTTACAGTAGTAAATCCAATATTCAGGGTCTCACAAAGTCACAATTAATGAACTTTGGTTGCAGTACCTATTGTCAATGTGGGGTCCTTTTTTCTTGCTTTCTCTGTCACTCTTCCCCTACTGGAAAGAGCACATGTTGTTGAACACCAATTGATTGAGCATCTCCTGCTGCCTTGGCTCCCCCACTGCTTGCATCAGGTAACTGCCATTGTCCTGAAAGGGGATGCACACATTCAGTGATGACCTCAGGTGGGTAAAATTGTTGGATTTTTTTTACTTTGATGCCATGATATATGTAGCTAAATTGGGACATTTTCATGTATGATTTAGCCAAAGAAAGGTGGACATGTGCCAACCTGAGAGAAAGAGATGGCTCCATGCTGGCTTTGCAGTGAGTAGGATGTGGTTGAGGTTGTGTCCATGATAGCTTGAGATGGAGCTGGGCTTGATTGGTTCAGTACTGGATTAGGCATTGCAAGGGCTTCTTGGAACATGCCTCCAATCTTCTGAAAAAGATTAAGAACATTAATCTAACTTTACACAAGAAATTAATTTTAGGCATATTTAGTTCAAGGTACAAATATTTATTTAGATATTTACTTGGTCATGGAGGCCATCGCTGTCCATTCCAAAGCCATACAACACTGGGCTCATTGAAGCAATCCTCATGGATAGGAACTGCACCATATAGACAAAACAAAGAAAATGTCATCCTGTCCAAAGTTTTCAAAAATGAAGTATTACTTCTTTTTTTTATTTTTTTTTAGTGTACCTCAACTTGGTTCTGCAACGACTGTACATAGTTGATGATCTCATCCAAAATGAGAGCCTTTCCAGTAACCTGAAGAAAAGCACAGTTGTTTCTTATCAAAGTTAGAGCCATGCATTAGCAAGATGTCACTACAACTGTACAACTCAACAATAATTACTCTCAAAAATAAAAATGAGAGGAAAGAATTGAACTAGAGCATGTAATAGTTAAATAGTAACCAACTTATTTTTTACCTTGTCACAACCAGGGACCAGTGCTTGCAGCATCCTCATCCTCTCACTGATCCTCTCCCTCCTCACCTGTAGAGAGAAAATGTCACCAAGAATCAGAGACCAGGAGAAAAGATGCAGAAGCTGCAAGCCAAAAACCACTCATGCAAAAGCAGCAGAAAAATCAAAACCAAAACCAAAGTGAAGTGCAGTAGTAGTACCCTCTCTGCAAGGCTGTGGCTATCAGTTGCCTGTCCTCTCCTTGCCCTCACATGGATGTACCCTTTTGGAGGCTCATCTTCAGTGGTGCTCTTCTCCTCCACTTCTTTGCTGGCCTTCTTCCCTCTCCTGCTCTTGCCATCCTTGCAGCTATCCTGCTTGCAAAAACCCAGAATTCAGAAACCAGAATGCAACTAACAATGTTCTCTTTCAGAGATGCAAACAAGAATGCCAATGTCAATAATGTCAATGCTTTGGTTGTGTCAGTTGTTAGCTACCTTGGAGTGTGCACTGTCTTCTGCTGCCTTCCTCTTCCTGTCCACAGATGGAGAGGTGTCAAGAACTGCAGACACTGAGCTCTCCAATGAGGCATCCTCCACAATGGCTGCTGCTGCTGCATTGGCAGGTTGTGGAGCTTGGGAGCCATGGCTGTGGTTGTAGAGGAAGAAGCTTGAGATGTTGGGGTCATTGGTGGTGGCGATGGCTGCTCCAGCAGCAGTAGCCTTGAGGAGGAGAGAGTGGTGTGGTGAGAAGTCTGCCATTGCTTTGCTGCTGCTGAACTCTCTGTGTCTGAAACTTTTTGGTGTTGTTGATTGGAAGTTTGGTTTCTTCAGAGAAAAGAGGAGTACTACTTCTTCTTGGCAGAGGCTAAAGAGTAGAGCAAGTTTGGCTCCTTGGTGCTTGCTCATGCTGGCTTATATAAAAGCTGAGATGCCAGGAGAGAGAAGAGAGAGAGAGAGAGAGAGAGTGAGAGAGAGAGATGATAAGACCAAATCATTAATCTCAATTGATGGATAAGTTGGCAGTGTGCAGTGTTAAGAGAGGGCCCCTGTGTCGAGGGCTTGCCTGCAAATTGCAATACACTGCTGTAAAAATAACATTTTTAAGTTTCCAAATGTTCACTAGGATAGGTTGATTAATTAGTTAATTAGTAAGAAATAAAACAATGATATCTATCCATGCATGGAAACAACTAATAAGAAATATGTGAGCATACATTGCAAGCTACTGAAAGTCTGAAATATATGGCTTTAAATTAAATATCATATTTCGATTAGAAATCAATGGGAATCTCTTGACTTTCCTTCAAAAAAGAAAAAGAAACATATGGTTCATGGACAAAAACAGAATGCAGCAAAAGTCTTTGCTACCAACTGAGAATGCAGCTATGGTCGATGCAAGGGTAATTGATTAAGCTGTGCTGCATACAGCTTCACTGGGTGAGTAAATATTCACCCTTACAAACACTGCAATGCAACAGTAGAAAAAACCTCTCTAGCTAGGGATTGCAATAACTGAACCCTGAAGACCAGGGGATCAAGAAGAAAAAAATTTCAGTGTACCACTTGGGAAAAAAATGGGGATTGTACAGTACATTCCTCTCTCGAGGCCGTTTATTTCACAGCAAGTATGCCATGTGGAGCAGTTACACTCCCACTGTATCACTGCACGGTGGAATTTTGGAATTTTCTCAGGGGTAGCATGCTCTGTGCATTAATGCAAATGATATTTCGAAAGGGTTTGAAGTTTGAACACAAATTTACACAGTAGTAGTTGCTACTTGCTGCTAGTTATACTAGCTTCTATTCCTCATCAATGAAAGAATTTAAATGAGAAGGTCGTAGTAGTGATAAGATAAGTTTGAAATGCATGTGTGGGAGCTACGAGGGTACTACGATGTAATATTGATTTTTGTACCTTCAGTTACCTTACTGGTGTTGAGCTGTCGAGATGCAACACTTCAAAGTTGTAAATGTGTTCTCTGGGTACCTCTTCAAGAATTGTAAAAAAACTAAGATTGACGTATCAATATATTTTTACCGGGTTGGCCGAAGGATTAGGCCGGCCATATGTTATTTCGATGTATGAATATATAAGTTGTTCTCTCACAAAACAGTTAGTAATCACTGATGAATTTGCCTGAAAAAATGTCAGTGATAGTTTGTAGAATCGACACAATGTTGAAACTGAAGAAAAAGAATATAACAGGACAGTCAGGCATGCACACGTACAGATATCAGATATATGCATGCTCTGAGGGAATTTTCCCGTAAAACTCTGCAGATAACTTGCAAAATTAAGGACCTCTGACAGTGGATAATTGTAGTATTCAAGTGTGTTAGCGAATTTCTTGTCAGTGGTCTGGCCTGCATGCATTCAGGGAGAAGGCCGGGCCTCCTGTGTGTGATAGCAGGCCAGGCACATTACCAGCCAGTACACAGATCTCCAGGTAGGGCAATGGCTAATAGATGATCATGACATGACATGATTGGCTAACTACAATTAACTATTCTAACATTTCTAAAGAACAAGTGGTTAGATCCTGAAATGACAACATCAATCACTGCCTATTTCTATGTATTGTGAGGGAACTAATAAGCAGATGCAGACTGCAGTATGGCTTCAGATAGAAGTCTGAACTTTGAAGCGCACAAACAAAGGCATCCATCAATTAACATGTTTATTAATTTAGTGCATCAAGATAATTAGTGATCCTGTGAGGCACTGATCCAATCACATTTCCACTGAACTGTATATACACATACCCACATTGGTATATATAAAATAAAAAATAAATCCATATATTACTAGTAACTAATTGGAAAGGCTAGCTGAAGGTATCTAGGCCGCAAGACTTTTGGGCATTAGCCACTGTATGTACCACCAGGTAGCCAATGTGCAGTTGTGCACACCTATTAATCAATATCTACCCCACCACCAAACCACCAACCAACCATGGAAGCTGGAGCTAGCTAGCTATCTAGGATCAAAATACACCATTTTAGTTTGTATATAAAAAATAAAATTGCAATATATATATGATTCAAGAATTGAATGTTGTTTGAAAGAAGGATTGCCAAAATTGATCCAACAAAATTCCATGTATATATGGTCCATCAGTTAATTAATAACATGCTCCAATATAAGAAAGAACAATATTTCGATAAATTAAAACCCCACACAGTCATACTAGTCAAGCATCAACCTTTGCATTTACTCCCTCCGTCCCAAAATAAGCGCAGACATGAGTTTTCGTGTCCAACTTTAATCGTTCGTCTTATTTGAATTTTTTATTATTAGTATTTTTATTGTTATTAGATTATAAAACATGAATAATAATTTATGTGTGACTTAATTTTTTAATTTTTTTTAAAAAATTAAATAAGACGAATGATTAAAGTTGGACACGGAAACTCATGGTTGCGCTTATTTTGGGACGGAGGAAGTACACATGATTTTTTTTAATAAAATCAATTGATTTTTTGTTTACATTATTAATATTCTTGGATACTACAGTACTTCTTTGAAAGGAACCATGCGTTCTTTTTTATGATCACATCTCTGGATCAAATTAGTAGAATCGTCCTGTAGCTAGGCTAGCTGCAGTCTAGTGTTCAACTTTGGAAGAGAAGGCCTTGCATGCATGCATGTGTAGCTGAGCCCATCAGCCCATGCATGAGGGGGTACGTTGTACTGCTGTTGGCCTGTTGCTATGTATGAGAAAGCGTGCATGTATATTAGTATGAGTACAAGTTATTAATTAACTCGCAGAGTATGTACGTTCATACGTACAGTGATAAATGCAGAACGAAAATTAATCGAGAGTCCTACAAACACCTCACTTATTATATATTTATCTAACTAATACTCTATTCAACTTTGATACATAATGAACATTGCAAACTACATGTGTAGTCCTAGGCATCACGAAGCCACAACGTGGCTTCACCCGTGATGCCTCTCTACCGTCACTTCTTTGATTGGTCTTCCTCCGTTCGATCCCCCGATTCATCCACCACCACTGCACCACCCAGCCTTATCGGCGCTCGAATGGTGCAACAACGCTATTGAGGCCTACCAGACCGACCTCCTCCCTTCCCCTTCATGCTTCTCCTCATTAAGCCACGGCAACGGAGATGTCCTCGCCTCACTATCTTCCTCGTCTCTAGCGACTTCCCATCACTGGAAACACCACCGTCCATCGTCTCTTGACCACTTCCTCACTTTCACCCCACCGCCTTGCCTCGTAATCACTCACTTCACTCTGGCGGTCCGGCCCCACCATCGAAGACGCTACCGTTGCCTCGTCTCCTAACCACTCGCTTTATTTTGTCCCGCTGCTAACACTAGCTCACTGTTTGTGGTCTTTGTCGTCGTTATCTCCCTGCCCACCCGTTCTGCTGCCCACCTCCTCTAATGGCTATCATTCTAACGCCGATCAACTTTTCCTCTCTTCCGCCTTTTTTACTAGGACCCTAACCTAGAACCCTAACTGGTCAGGCCATCATCATCTCGCCGTGGAGGAGGGGTGTAGCATGAATCACGGCATGGATCTAATGGTGGAGGATTCAACAGAAATTCAACATAACCTAATGGTGGGGAATTGATTTCTGTCGTATTTGCCGGGGTAGAAACGCTGAACCATGCATGTGTACATAGCTAGCTCAACCACTGCCAAGCTGCAGGTGCCGTGTTGAAATTCGCACGTGTGAGTACTGTGCAAAAAGGAAAAATGAAATGAAATGAAACTGCATGCATGCACGTACGTACGCCGTTTGATCGAGGAAGAAGACGACGACGCTCGTACAGTGATCTCTTGATACGTACTATATGCATGCATGCATGACCAGCAGCTAGCTAGCTAGCCAGCCAGCGTAAGGTCTCATCGTACGTATGATCGAGCTATGCCTATACGGCTATATATATATATATATATATATATATATATATAGTATGGAGTACTACTCTATAGAACGAGAGATATTCAAATTCTATGTCTCATATCTAGCTTCGTAGTACTAAGATATATTTCATTTTGCGTAAAATACATGACCAGTCTGAGTAAAAGTGTCACTTAGTTCCATAAATTTGAAAATTGTACATTGAGATCTATGATCTTGTTTTAATGAACTATAACCGGTCCAAGCCGTGTTTAACTAGAGCTGACCGTCTACATTGCGCTCTATGTAGGCAACATTTTGCATCTGGACCCATACGCATCTCGATGTAGTAGTAATTTTGTACTTACCCCCCCTTGCCACAGTAGTCGTCAAATTCCCCCCAAATCCCTTCATTTCTTTGCATTCCCCTCGATGGCTAGGGTTTGCGATGATGAGGACAGCGTTCGGAGACAGCGAGGTAACAATGGTAGGGGCGCCGATTCATCTTCTCTCTTAAAGTTGAGGTCCATTGCAACCGTCTTGTCGACGAGGAAGGTGTGTCACCTATCGAGCAATACTGATCGCGCAGTCCAAATTGACGCATCAATCACCTCGCACCGCCGATGATCGTCAACGTTATCCTCGCCCTGCTTAGGTCTCTCCCTCAGAAGCGTCGGGGGGGGGGGGGATGCAAAGGAACGAAGGAATTTGGGATATTTGGGGGATTTTGGTGAATACTGTAGTAACAGGGGTGTAAGTACAAAATTACTATCACATTGAGATGTGGAGGGACCGGATGAAAAATGCTGCCTATATATGTGGAGCGCCACTTATGCGGTCAACTATGGTCAAACGCGCTTTGGACCGGCTATGGTTCATTAAAACAAGATCATAGATCTGGATGTGCAATTTTTAAGTTTACGGACCTATATGACATCTCCGATCAAGTTTAAAGGCCGTCCCTGTATTTTACTCTTTTATTTTCTAGTACTAGATATTTATGGGATGGAGGTAATAAACATTGGGCTTATAGCTCATGCACTGCTCATTTCATGCATCTATAACTATATTACTATACATGTATCTCTCTCTCTCTCTAGCTCTCCGTGACCGATCGATCGATCCATGGCCTTTTTCGGCCGTCTAGCTAGCCAGCTAGCTAGCTTGACTGTGTGTTGTGTTGATGCATGCATGCATGTCGTATTGTGATTGGAGCATGCATGCAGATGCAGACGTAGCTAGCTAGCTAGCTAGCTAGCTAGCTATATATAGCGCATGTATCCGATCGATCGATCTGGTGTACGTACGTACAAGCTAGGCCCGGTTCAGTCGTCTCTACTCCTCAGAGAGATAGAGAGAGCGTGTGTACTCTATCGATCGATCGCATGCATGCGTTTTCTGGCGATCACCATCATATATTGCTATGGGATATATAGATCGATATACAGTACTCCCTCCATCCAAAATATAAGGAATTTTGAAGGATTACTGTCCAGATTATAGTAATAGAATGTGTCACATCCCTTTAAATTCCCTTATGCTATAGGACGTATGGAGTATATAATACGAGTGCGTAAGCTAGACTAGGATATTGTGCATATTAAAGGGGAGAGGATTTTACTCACTTGAGAGGGGATCTCCTCTCGCCTAATTTTCTTCTCTCAAATTTAATGTAAATGGTTGTGAGAAAAAAATACCAGAATAATTTGGCAACGTAAAGTATACTAGCATCTTCTATCAAAAATCATATTCAAATTCGATCTACGCATTGAGAAATATAAAAAAAACAAATTTAGACATGAATAATATTGTCTTTTTTTATTTCTCAATATATGAGTTGAGTTTTGACTTGATTTTTATGGAGCAGTATATGTATACAATATGAATGTTGTCAATTTTTTTTCAGAAAATTTTACAACTATGTGGAAAGTGTTTGAATAAACAAGGGGACACCCCTTTAAGAGTTTGAAATACTTTCCCGTGTTACAAATTATGGAGTCGCGCGTACATGGAAGAATTTATTTTGAGAGGTAGGTCAAAGAAAATTAAAAGCACTAGCCACTACCTCATTCTAAAATAAAATAGAGCTATTCCTAACATAGCCTATTCTCAAATGAAACTATCTCTTCACCTATCCTATATATGATCTCAATCAATCACAAGATCATAAGCATTCTCCATTTAATTTATCCACATATTGTTTTCTTTTCTCAACCAATCATATTTTTTTCAATTATTTTCACCTTTTTTTAATATCCGCGTTAAACTGAAAAATACTTATATTTTAAAACGAAGAAAGTAGCTCTTCCATTAGTTGCATGCTACCGTTGGGCCTCCAGCAGCCCAGTTGCTCATAAGCTTTCCCTTGTCCTTGTCCTTTTGCAAGCTACCTACCTTTTTTATGTCAGATTATTCTCCGAATTATTAAAATAGACTATTTGTTCCACGTTTTAAAAAATAAGTTTTTCTCGAAGTTCTTTTTACAATTTAAACCACTTGCTGTAAGCTATATATTTTAAGTTTGTTTTTAAAATATTTAATTTATCTCAATAATAAAGTAGATAATTCACCGTAATAATCTAAATAAAAATAAGCAGGGATTGCCTTGATTCAGACTCATTATCCACAACGAGCATTCCTATGTGTCAACCCATTCAACTGAAATCTTGCAAATCCAAATGGAGGTGTGTAAATTATGCTAATGGATGACAAATTATTACGTAAGCACGCGGGAATGCCTCCCCAAGCTTCTAAACGGTATAATTGTTTTTAAAAAGAACTTTCTTATTTAGCATTTCTTAATTTCAGCTTCTCAATCGTCTAGCTAGTATTTCATACATTCAATTGTCTTCTCGAATAATAATTGTAAACTATTTTTCCAACATGGACCAGAATGGTCATTGTTGTGGATGGAAATCGTCTCACAAGAGGCAAAACTACATTAGTTTCAAGTAGCATATTAAAAGGGAAAGTATCAGTGTTGTTGTGATAGAGTCATAGTTGTATAACTCTATCTACTATGATTTAAATCTTGATTTAAATCTTGATGCTCACGAATATTACATGTACATATGCAGATAGACTTTCAACAGGCTTTTAATAAGATCAATGATGTGCTAGCTACTAGCTAGCTAGTTTCTATTTCTCTAAGCATATGTTAAAGACACATTAGCGATGGTGTGAGTGTGATGTTGCTCGTGTAATGATGCGTGTGCGTGTTTGTCTACCGTATAATAAAAAAAGTAGCATATTAAAAAAAGAAGAAAATAAAGAAACATAAGACATCGTTCTCTGCATGACGCGTGCGTCGATCGATCAGCCCAGCAGGTGTCAAACAGCCTCTTTAGCCCAACAATGTTAAGGATGGAAGATGGGCCTCCAGTCAGCCCATGACACTGGCAGAGGAGTATTTTATTCCTACCTCCGTTTTTTAATAGATGACGTCGTTGATTTTTTCTCACATGTATAAGATATAAATCACACTTAAAGTACTATGAGTGATAAAACAACTCATATCAAAATAAATTATAATTACGTAAATTTTTTGAATAAGACGAATGGTCAAATATGTAAGAAAAAGTCAACGGCGTCATCTATTAAAAAACGGAGGGAGTACTACATTACTTCATATTTTTTTCTGTTTGTGATTTCTATTTTTATTATTTATTAGATAATGGATAGAAATCTACAAGTGGATACAGTAGAAGTTACATGAGTTGTTAAACTCCAAGCCTCAAATCCGAGGGGAAAAAAAGAAAGAAATAAAGCTAGTAGAAGGATAAGAAACAATCTATCTATATACTAATATAAAAAGGAGGAGTTGTCCCCTCCAATGCTACATGCCAAATCATCCGGACTAACCTGGACCGTCCATCCGCGCGAAGTTTTCTCCACCGCACGATTTCACAGGCGAGGATTCCGCGCGAAGACATCGCTCCTCCTCCACCCGCGGCCGCGGAGACCGCGCACTTCTCTTCCTCGCTCACTCCTCCCCGCGTCCTCGCAGGAGCGACTCCCCACTGCCTCCGCTCCTCCGCGTCCTCGCCGGAGCAGCCGCGGCCGTCCTCCTCGCTCCCGCCGCTACGCCGTGGCCGTCCTCCTTCTTCCCCACCGCCGCGCCCCGCTGCCGGCGCTACGCCGCGTCCTCGCCGGAGCCGCCGCCGTATCGTGCTTCTCCCACTCGGATCAGCCGCCGGAGCCGACTTCGGCCCCTTCTCCACCGCCGGAACTGAACTCGACCTCGGCCCCTATAGTACAAGTAAGTCCCAAAAATCCTGTGTATTTCCCTAATGTTCTCCGTACGTGTGGGAATTTTAATCTTCTTCCTTGTTGAGCATTGGCCTGTAGCATTTGGTAGTTGAAAAGACGATCTGAAAACAAGTGACCATGATTTTCCTTTTTTTTGTTGGAGTTAGTGAACAATCAGATAATTACATTGAGGTGATCTCACTCGCTGCCGTGCCTCCTCGCGACTCCCCGCCGCACGCCACCGCATCGCGTGCCCCTCCGCTCCCAGACCGGCGCTCACCTCTCTCCTCCGTTCCACCATCACAGGGGGCAGTGAGCCGGTGAAAGTCCCCGTAGTAAGACCAAGGATTGTGGCTTCTGCGACGACCCCAATTCCGTTGGGCTCCACGATTTCTGACTCCCTCGGCCTCAACGGTGCCCCTTGCCCGTCTGACCTTTCTTTATGTCTGTCGTTGAAGGATTTGCAGTGGTGGTTGGTTAATGGTTAGGCAGGTTGGTTTAATCTGGTATATATAGGATCCTAACTCAGGTTGTTTCCTTTGTCGATCCATTGCTTTCACTATTAGATGATCAGATTTGGATGCCGAATAGTGTGCTAAAGATGATGTCCGTCATATGCTAATTTAATTGCCAAATTGCAACTTGTTACTCAAAGTATCTCGCTGACTGTACAGCTCTGATTCAAGGAACTCTCTTATATTATTTGGATTATGGGAGCTTTCTGTTCATCTTTGCAAGCTGATTACTCTGACCACTATCAAGGTATGCAGCCGCTGTCTGCTGACATTGGTCTTAAGGTGTTATCAGAATTTACTAATATTTCTGGTATACTTTTTCTATACTTTATTTTTTACAGATTTGTTGTGTCCAATGTTTAGCCTAAATCTGTAGATTGGATATTAGTGACCATTTGTATGAGCAGATGGATCAATACATACAACCAATCAGTCTTGCCTTTGGACATCAATATGTTATTTTGCACGCAGATTCCTTAGTTTGTCACACTCTAACATGAGATAATTCTTGGAAATTCTAGAAAGCTGGCTAGGTTTCTAGATAATCCCTTCTTTTATTTGATGTAATCATCGCTTGCCTGGCAGCTGCATCATCAATGGTTTGCTGGCCCCTCCTTATTTCAAATATTGGCTTATTCATGTCCTATACAGGAGGTTCCGGTTGTATTTATATAGGGGAATGTGTTCTCTGATTTAGTAGTACCCTAAGTTTTTGTGTCTAGACATCTTTTTGAAACAAAATGTCGCTTGACAATTAGCTTTACTGGTGGTCATATTTCTCCAATTTTACATTGCTCTTTCCCGTGTTTATAATTAAGAGTTACTGGACCAAAGCAAAGATTACTCCCTTTCACGTATGATGAAGGCTTATGAATGTGTTCATTTTTCCTTCTTTTCTATGCAGGTAAGGGTGGATGGTCTGAACATGGAGTACTGCGGTGGTCTGGTCAGCAATAAACAGGTGGATCGGTTGGTACCTGATTCAAGCTAGCCACGGTCCATCTCCAAGTATATTTTTCTAACCCATTTACAACTTTGTCCAGTCCTACCATTAGTTTCCAGTGAGTACAAACCAGTTTGATTCAAGCTAAATAAAGTAATTCTTTTCTTCACAATTCTTGTAGAAAATATTAGAAAAATCCACTTTGATTCAAGCTATACAAAAAATAATGTAAAAAGATCACGATGATTGTATTTTTAGCACTTAATGTTTAGTGGCAACGTAAGAGTTAAACCACCCATAGTTTGTGCCTTCGTGGTAGTCCTATACCTTGTGCGCTGGTTAGATCCTAATTGGAATCGCCTCTATTATATGGTCTTTGTATGGGAGAGTTGTGTGCAAAATAAAATCATATTATGTTCCTAAATTTTTGCAACTTGTAAAGGCTCCTTCGGCTGCTGTCACCCAGCCACGGAAGCATGAGCCAGGAAATGTCGCATAAGCTGAATCTGAAATGCCATTCTTCTTTGAGTAAATCCCTTATGTACACATGAAAACTCACCTAATATTTTCTATACCCTCGAATTTTACACGATCCTCTGTGTACCCCTGAAATTTCGTTTTGATCCCTTCCATGCCTCTCCCGTTAGGTTTCCATTAGATACGTTGCTCAAACCGTGTATTGTGTTGTCAGTATTTTTAGAAAATACCAAAATGCCCCTGCCAACCCTAACTAAAGTTCCCCTTTCCTTCTCCCGCATCCTCTTCCACGCGAACGGCCTCTGCGCGCCGCCGTCCCGCTGCCCTCCGGCCACGCGCGTCGTCGTCCAGCCGCCCTCCCGCCGCGCGGGGCGCCGGCCACCACCCCTCTGGCCGCGCGCGCCGTCGTCCAGCCGCCGTCACGCCGCGTGGGGCGCCGTCGTCCAGCCGCCCTCCCGCCGCGCGGGCGTCGCCGGCCACCGCCCTCCCGCCGCACGAGCCGCCGGCTACCACGCCCCTGCCGCACGGGCAGTCGGCCGCCGCCCCTCCGGCCGCGCGCGCGCCGTCGTCCAGCCGCCGTCACGCCGCGCGGGGCGTCGCCGGCCACCGCCCTCCCGCCGCGCGCGCCGTCGTCCAGCCGCCGTCACGCCGCCACCGCCCCTCCCACCGCGTGAGCGTCGCCGGCCACCGCGCCCCCGCCGCACGGGCCGCCAGCCACCGCCCCTCCCACCGCGCGGGCCGCGGGCCGCCGCCCCTCCTGCCGCGCGGGCATCGCCGGCCATCTCCCTCCTGCTGCCACTCTAGATGGCACTCTTCCATCTACAGGGGTGTTTTAGACATTAGGAACCACACATAATGTGAAAATGAAGGAAACCTAATGGAAAGGGCATGGAAGGTATCAAAGCAAAATTTTAGGGGTACAGAGGGGATCGTGTAAAATTGGAGGGTATAGAAGAGATTAGGTGAGTTTTCATGTGTACACAAGGGATTTACTCTTCTTCTTTCATTTTGCACCGTTGTGAATTTGCGATCCGAGATGCGCTTTCCTGCCCTTATGTGGCCACATAAGCTGCAACTCTCCGATCAATGCCTCTCCTCACCAGCAATAGTAGCGGGAGAAGCCTAGGTTCAGCAATCAGGAGGGAAGGCAGCAAGGTTCGTCAGCTCTAATCCAAAAACACAGCTCCTCAATGCACAACTTTTCTCTGTAGGTGAAGGCCCTCGCTCCTGCAAACAACAGGTTTCTGATGATTTTATGAATGAGGCTCCTCTTTGGATGTTTGCTTCTTATATGTGTTTTATTTTACATTAATTAATTGCCCTTCTGACAAAAAAGGGAGATATCAGATTAGACAAACTAAGAACTGAATCCTATGATGCAGGCAAGCAATGGCATCCTCTGCAATCAATAAAGGTTTCCACTTTTCAGCACTCCCAACTAGCTTTTTCTTTTAGTTTCAGTAAGAACTTTGATTGAATGTTAAGTACGCCATCATCCTCCCAAGAAAATGTGGAACTGCATGTTGCATGTTGGTAAATAATAATTGATAAAAGGTACTGACTGCAAAACCCAAAATTGCAGTCACCAATTGCTTCTAATAAAATTGGTGCACACATGTTTTAGTTTCCTAATAAAATAATTTGCTGGCAATTGTGGCATACTATAAAGCCCATGTCCTGCTTTACCTTGGACAGATAATAAGAGCATTGTATATACCCATAGGTGCACTTACAATTATCCCTTTTTCTTGGTGTGTGCAGAAAGATAGTTTTGCAATTGACTTGGCATATTTACTGTTAGTGGCAGCGATCATGGTTATCACTCTTTCAAGTAATAATGATGTTGCCCTCTTGATAAAAGTTATTCTCTCTTCAGGTTTTCTTTGCATATATTTCAGATTTTTATTGATTGCACATCAGTGACTATGTTTGATGCTTTACAATACAAAATTCCTTTCTAAATTTGTAGGAAAGCTGGAAAAAAAATCGGAACATAAGTGCAGAACTGACCTTTTGGTTAAATCTACCGATGACTGATAATACTATTTTGTTAGTTCATTGTGTGGCGTAATGTTTTGAACTGTTCGATAAAATCCCTGGTAATCTTTTTTTTGTTTTCATCTGTTTGCATTTGCAAAGCAACTCATTTAATTAGCTAGCTTTAGGTTGCTTAATTACATTTTTATATAGCTAAAGTTTCTCCTCCTTTATTTCAAGTAAAGATGTTTCTTCTCTGGAATTTTGATATTGTAGAGTTCTAATGAGTTTTAATTACTAACGATATAAGGCATAAATTTTATCCATCAATATATGCTTCTGATTATTTCATATATTATTTTCAATAGATGGAGCTTGGCTCATAAATGCAATGGGTGATTTATGGCCTTTAAAGGGTTTCACTGCATAAGGTATTGTGATTTTAGGCAGTTTTAGCAGCCTTCCGAGCTAATGCACATCAAAATAATTTTCTTGCTAATATGTGTATTTAACAAGAAATAACCGATTCAGGCAATGAAATCGCTTTCCAGATTGGGCTATAATTAATTGCTCAGCAAAGATGTCGAACTAGATATGTAGACTAATCCTAATAGGCAAGGAAAAAAAAGAGGATATATTCACAAAATGATAAAGTTGTTTCCAGAATGTTCACACTTGGTATATTCTTTTTACTTCAATTAAGGCAACCATGTTGAATACTATTTTGATGATGATTTTCTGAAATACCACTGTGATGACTATTTTTTGGAAGTGAAAGAGATAAATTTCTACTTGCATAGTATATAAACTCATTGGTAATCATGTAAATGCCATTTTAATTTCAGATCAAGATGAGTATATTTGAAGTAGCGGGGTGAAGAGAAGCTATTATGTACATGGTGGAGCTGGAGATGTGGAGTCATTTTTTTGGATTATATAATGTAGACAGTGGAGTTCATTTCAATGCCATAAAGACATATATTGCTCTGAGCTTTTCAAATGTTTATCGAGCTTTATATGACAAATTATGTAGCTGCTTTGCATTTTTTAGTGTTTAAAAGCGGTTATAAAGTAGTATGTCAAATTACATTAGTAGATAACTCTGAGTATGTATGTTTTGTGTGATATATATTACAGGAAAATGCAATAAATTTTGTCTTTATATGATTGCAGTGACATAAATTGTTGAAGCACGTACACGATTACTAGTACTAGTAAAAGACTCAGTTTTGAACTTCTTCGAGGTCCAAGTTTCAACCTCTTGCAGCAATAAGCCTTCCCAACGTTTTACCAAAATCGCCATCCCTTATGGAGATCTCTGCCCTAGCATGAGATGGAGGGAGGGGCGATGTGGATCTAGTCCACCCTGCCACCATCGCACCATCCCCGCCGTTGCTGATCTCATCCGTCCTCCTTCCACCACTTATATCAGTTACTGCGCTACCTGTCGATGCCGATTCCAGCTACGGACACTAGGGAGTAAGTAGCTTGTTAGCCCATAATGCTTGTCTATCAACATGATGTGACCATGCCTATTATAGATACAACTATTATTCACATCATGGATCAACAAGAAGACTTCAAGATCAAGTCGTCGAAGTGTTGGAATCCGATTCAACCACCTGTTACATTGCTGACTTCAAACGGTCACCAAATGTGCATACGAGCTTCATTTTAAGTCCACGAGTACTTAGTGCAAAGCTCTTAGAGTTTCCTCTTCAACGGATCCAACCTCATCTTCAAATTCCATTTCAGTTGGATGCAATCATAGAAAACAAGATGTTGCGTCACCTATAATTAATTAATGGGTTTACAGGCTTGTAACTTCATCTGGAACCTTGACCCAAGTGGAGCCCAATTGGGGTGTGCCCCAACCTGGTGGAGTATGACCCTAGGGACCCCTAGGTCGTCATCCTACTTCCATAAATCGCTAGGTACCGCTTTAGGATTTCTCGGGTTTTGTTTAGATTATAGTTTAACCATTGCTACTTTACCTTGTGGTTGCGCATATCGGCTAGACCGCCTAATTACTCATCTTTGGAACCCTAACTTATGTGTGTATTCGATTCCTATTTGTAATTTCAGATTACTTTTATCTTATTCTTATTTGTTTCTTTGATTTGCTTGCAAGAATAAAGTTGATCTGTACTGGTTAGATGAACAATCCAAGGAGAAGTGAATCGATTGCTATGGTGCAACACAACAATTCATCAACGTTTCTTCCAAATAGTAGTTATCATCAAATCATCGAAAGATCGGGTCAACCAGAATCGTGAGCATATCAAGTGCAGCTCAGGATAGGATGTAGTGCCGAGAGCAGACGTGCAAAGAATACGCTCCCTAAAAACTTAATCACCCACCTACCCTAGGCGCTCAAGTGAACGGAGTTCTGGAGGCCTGCTCGTCCCGAACACTCGACCAGAGATTGTAGAAGTAATGCAGGAACAGAGAAGCCTTCAGGGAGATAAGGTACCTATTCTGGAGGAGAAGAAGGATGAAGAAACAATACTCTATTCTGGAGGAGGATATAAGGTTGCACACCAGAGAAACGTTACCCTTTGCTCATCAAAACAAAATGTTAGGGAGGCAAGCAGCCGTCCCCCACGTGCCGCGACCATGGCCCGGCCCAGCATGGCGCGCGCGTGTGGTAGTCCCACCACCACCTCAACCGCTCAAGTGCTCTAAGATAACAACCTATTTAAGTTGAGCACTGGTGGAGAAACCATCTTTAGTCGGTCGGCCCAATTTTACAATAGTCCCGGTTCCAATAAAAACCGGGACTAAAAAGCATCTTTAGTCCCGGTTTAAAAGCTGAGGGGTATTTTTTGATCTTTAGTCCGGGACTAAAGATCATTTTTACTCCCGGTTGAAGAGGTTGTCAGGTCGTGTCAGGCCCCAATTATTTTTAGTCCCGGTTGGTATAAACAACCGGGACTAAAGATCCATCTTTAGTCCCGGTTGTTTAGAACATCCGGGACTAAAAATCACCCCAAGCCGCGCGCGATGTTTATCTCTTCGCGTGTCCATTGTCTGACCCTCTTCCTCAGTCTTATCCTTAGCTTTTCTTCCCCTCCACTCGTTCTCCTCCTCACTCCTTCTCCTCTTCCTCCTTCTCCTCCTCCCCTTCCTCTCTCCCCTGTCTTCCTGGCGGCGGCAGCGGCCGGCGGCCGGCGCGGAGGGCCGGCGGCGGCAAGCGCCGGCCAGCGCGGAGGCAGGTGGTGTAGGCGCTGGCGGCCGGCAGCGGCGGCTGCCTCGTGCGGAGGGCCCGGCGGCGGCGGCTGCCCGTCCGGAGGGCAGGTGGCGGAGGTGCGGAGGGCCGCCCCGTGGCGGCTGGCAGCGGAGTCGTGGAGGGCCGCCCCGCGGCAGTTGCGGAGGGCCGCCCCGGCGGCGGCAGGCAGCGCCTCGGGCCGCCCGGCATGGAATTTTTTGCTTTTTTTTCTTTTTTCCTTCTTAATGTGATGTGGATGACTGTAATTTGTGCGATCTGTGTGATTTGTTCGATCTGTGATTTGTGATGCGATCTGTGATTTGTGAATGATATTAGGAGATATGTGATATGTGAACTATCTATGATTCGTGTATCTGTGATTCGTGCTATATGTTATTTGTGATTTGTGGTGTGATTTGTTATTTGTTATTTTTATAATGATTTGGAGAGATTGAACATGAGAAAAGAAAAAACAGAAAAAAAAACTTTAGTCCCGGTTAGTTACATCAACCGGAACTAAATCTTTAGTCCCGGTTGGTGTTACGAACCAGGACTAAAGATACATCTTTAGTCCCGGTTATTTCAACCGGGACTAAAGATGGACATCTTTAGTCCCGGATTTGTAGTCCCGGTTGAAAAACCGGGACTACAGAGGGTTACCAACCGGGACTACAAACCCTTTCTCCACCAGTGGAGGTTTCTTATCATTGATTTTCAAGTTGGTATTAATCTCTTAACAATAATTGTGAGCCATGGAATTTACTAGGATTAAATTAGACCTAGCCCATCTAGTTCTAATTAACATAAGGCACAACTATCTTTTAGATGTTTCATAATACAATGCATACATTTATGCATGCCATTTAATAACATCTCTGCTTCACTAAATTATTTTTTAATTCTTTACTCTTAAAATATCTAATTTTGTTGGTTGTATGCATATTGTATTTATTAGTATGATTCAAACAGTAAGATGATAATTATTGTTTGTTGGTTTTTGGTTAAGGATGCTTGTGCCATATTGTAGAATGAAGGGAGTAGATTATTAATAGGACAAGTAGTACTTCAGCATGCTTTTATTTAAGAACACATTCTAAATGATTGGAGCGCTTATATTATGAACAGTACAGAGGGAGTGCAACAAACGGAATATTGATCATATCCATGCCAGCATGCATATTCTGTGGTCTGAACTTTTCCCGCCATTGCCACTTGGTTAATTGGAGCTGCAACTACTGATCATCATATATACGAGCAGATCAGCAGAGATGTTAATTAATTGCTGCACTTAAGCTGTATAACCATTGGGCAACTGGGGTCTAATGTCTCCCTTTAGACCTCTTCAACCATGCATATATAATTCAGTTGGGGTTCGATCAATCGGAAGCTAATTAATGATCAACTCACCTTGATCCTACTATCTACGTTGGAGTACGTAGTAGTATTAATTAATTAGTTAGTTACTTCCTTATTTTAAATATATGATGTTGTTACTTTTGGACATTCGTATTATTTAAAAGTATTATGTAACTATTGTTTATTTTATGGTGATTTATTTTATAGTTCATTTTTTTAAGTATGACTAAAATGTTTCATATTAATGTTAAACTTTTAATAAAATGAATAATCAAATATCATGTCTGTTGTAGCCTAGCGTTGTATTAAAAAAACAGAGAGTAGCTTGTACAAATAAAAATATTTACTTGTACTTCACTCAAAATTGTGGAGTAAGTACATCATTAATGCCTTTACCTAGTTAGCTCAACCTAGCTAGCCCCGTTGATGCGACATCGTGGAAGTAGTTAAGGATGTTGAGATGGCCTACTGGTAGTTGAAAGCACAATCGAGGTAGGTATATAATTTCATTACTCTAATAATAATTGTGTAATCTTGTTAAACATCTCCCAGTTACAGACTGATTGAACGTACTGTGCATGTGCCAAAAACTGGGCATCATATATATATTCCATCAACTGTCAATTTTTAAAACTAATTCTTTTTTAGAATAACTTTTGCGGTAATTCTTAATTAGCAGATGAGAAAGACACGCACTCCTTTGGTTTATATTCTTGAAATCCTGTCTTCCATAGCATCAACGGCCGATCAACCCGAAGTTTCCTCAAGAGGATGAACGATGGTTTAAACGGATATTATTCATATGATTTTTGTATGTTACATTTAGACGATTTTTTTTTTAAGTAAAGGGACTCCCGGGCTCTCGGCCCTCCATTTTCATTACCAGAAATAATAAGAGCAGAAGGGAAAAATAGTTCGCAGAACCTATACTCAGACATGTCAGATCTTTTTCTACGAAGGAAAAGACACAATGTTTATGTATATTTCGTTTTAGATAATGGATAAATATCCCGATCTTTGCTTCAAACAAGTTACAACCACTTATATTACATAGTTCACTCAATATAAAACATAAAAAATCAGTAATGGCTAGACAGTAATTAATAATACCAACACAAAATAGTGTAAACATTTATTCAAAGTCTGTTCGTAAATCTTCATCCGAAGTTACCATGTAAAAAAACAAGTACATAATAGCTTTCTTATTTAGTTATGCGTAAATGATGTGTATAATTAATGATTTAATTCCATATATAGATGTAATGGCCATTTTATCACTTCTATCTCTCGTATTCACATATTTAGAAACTTTACATGGTATAAGTTCGCTATACCTTTATCACATCATTAATGTTCATGCACAAAATTAACTTAGAAATTTGAAAAATTGAGTGCGACCTTGGATTTAGTATTTCTTTAACCAAGACATATGAATTTCTTAGCAATGTTTGCTATGAGTATAAAATATCATCTTCAGTTCACATTATAAAATGCTTTGACTTTTTCTTTTAAGGTTAACCAAGTATATAGAAAAATATCGTAAAATTAATTATTTCAACACCAAACTAAATCAGCATACTATGAAAATATGTTTAATGCTACATTACTAATTTAATGCTATAAAATCAATCTCCTGTATTTCTCTATAAAATTTATAGAAATTTGACTCATAAAAAATTCAAAGCGTTTTATAATATGAAACGGAGCGAGTACAAGTACAATCCAAGATTACTGATCACAAAACGCAAAACAATTAATAGGTACATAAGTGAACATATCCCCTTGTAAGGCTTTGTAGAGTCTGATTATACATTTTCTTTTTCGGGGGATTATACATTGAGATTTACTCTGATAAAAAACAAAAATATCTCAAGCTACCGGCATCTCACGGTACTAAATCGTTTCCGATCGTTGGATCTAACATCCATCCCGCCTAGTTAGATCCAACGATCAGAAATGATTTAGTATCGATACATCGAGATACTTTTTGCTAGATCGAAGCAAAAATCTCTTATACATTATTTGCACGGCACAAGAAGAAGAGCAATTAAGAGATGATGAATACGTATTAATTCAAGCTGGTGGTCTTGCAGTGCCCATCGCCGACTTGAAACTAAGTCCAGTGCATCCACGGAAGAGCTCATGGATGAAGTGTCCCATGGCGTTGCCCGCCAACCCGGCGCAGCCGACGAAGCAGCCGCCGCCGCACACGCATTGGCCACAGCAGCAGCACGGCGGGACGCCGTCGCGACCGAGCGCGCAGGCGAGGCAGAGCTCGCTGTCCGGGCACGTCTGGCACTGGTACGACCACGCCCGCACCACCTGCCTGCCGCCGCCGCCGCCGCCGCCGGCGACGGCGTTGCACTCGACGCATCTGCGAACGCCGCCGCCGCCGTCGGGCGCGCGCAGGAAGAGCTGGTGCTGGTGCGACGGCGCGCCGGCTTGGGGCGGGAGGTTGCCGCAGCGCGGGTGCGCGCGGAAGCCGCCGCGGCCGCAGGCGAGGTGCCTGGACTTGCTGCAGGTGTACACGTGGGAGAAGCCGTCGAGCGTCATGGCGCACACCGTGCAGGCGCCGCCGGCGACGTCGGCGCGGGCGGTGAGGGCGAGGCTGTGGCCGGCCGAGAAGTGGCCCTTGGCCTTGATCCTCTCCGGGTAGCGGTAGCAGGCGTCGTGGAGGAAGAAGGCCGTGCACTCGGCGGCGGCGCAGCGGTAGGCCATCTCGCCCATCCTGACGCGGCCGCCGCAGAGGCCGCACGCCGCCCCGGCGGAGCCGCACGCCGCGCGCCTGAGGGCGCCGTGGCCGGGGTGGACGAGGTGGGAGTGGCCGCCCCCCATGGCTAGCTAGAGCTAGAGCTAGACGAAGGCACGAATGAAATTAAGATCGGCGTGTGGTGTGTATGTGTATATATAGGCGGAGCTCACCGTGCATGTGATTAATTGGACAATAAAGCATCATCTTGTTGGTCAAATCCATGGACTAGCTCGACTGGGTCAACAAACTCTTTTTTTTTACCAGCTCACACGTCATTGAGTTTCTAATCCCGAGGCAGATTAGAAAAAGGAGCAACATGCAGCCGTCGGGTTTCTGCTCTGTCCCGTGAGGACCCAATTTTCCGGCAGAAACTGCTATATATAATTCGCTACGTGCACACGGAAAGTGCACCAGAGGTTCGCGTTTTTGCTAGGTTTACCCTAATTTCATACCAGAAAATTCAGAATTAATTCCCATGGCGAGTGAAAAGTATGATCTACCGCTCCTGGACTGAGACACAAGATTCTCACTTTGGCAAGTGAAGATACGAGTCATTTTTGCACAGTAAGACCTCGATGATGCGCCTTCTGGAATTGACAAGAGGACACATGATTTGGTCCGGCGATGAGAAGAAAAGCGAACGTAAGGCTATGTCATATATTCATCTTCATCTATCTAACAATATTTTGCAGGAGGTGCTTAAAGAGGAGACAGCTGCTGGGCTGTGGTTGAAGCTGGAACATATATGCATGACTAAGGATCTGACTAGTAAGACGCACCTGAAGCAAAAGTTATTTTTGAACAAGTTGCAAGATGATGAGTCCGTGATGGACCATCTCTCCACTTTCAAGGAAATTGTTGCTGACCTTGAGTTTATGGATGTAAAGTATGATGAAGAGGATTTAGGCCTTATTTTATTATGTTCATTGCCTATCTCATATGCAAACTTCAGGGATACTATACTTTATAGCCGTGATACTCAAACTCTGAAAGAAGTTTATGATGCTTTACATGTCAAAGAAAAGATGAAGAAGATGGTACCTCTAAAGGTTCAAATTCATAAGCAGAAGGCTTGGTTGTTCGAGGCAGGCAACATGAGAAGAACACAAACAGCAAATCAAGAGATAAAAGTTCAAGTAGCTACCGTGGGAGATCAAAGTCCAGAGGCAGGTATAAGTCATGCAAATACTGCAAGAGAGATGTACATGATATCTCTGAATGTTGGAAGCTACAGGACAAAGACAAGAGAACCGGAAAATATATACCAAAAGGTAAGAAAAAAGAGGAAGGTAAAGTCGCAGTTGTTATTGATGAGAAGTCCGGTGCATAATTGCTTGTTGCTTATGCTGGTTGTGCACAAACTAGTGACCAGTGGATTCTTGATACTGCATGCACCTATCACATGTGCCCGAATAGGAATTGGTTTGCCACCTATGAAGCTATCCAAGGTGGTACTGTTTTGATGAGTGATAATACACCATGCAAGGTTGCAGGTATTGAAACATTTCAGATCAAGATATTTGATGGCTGTATCAGAACATTGTCAGATGTGCGGCATATTCCAAATTTGAAGAGAAGTCTCATCTCTTTATATACTCTTGATCGCAAAGGGTACAAATATTCTGATGGAGACAGAATTTTGAAGGTAACTAAAGGCTCTCTTGTTGTGATGAAAGCTGATATTAAATCTGCCAACTTGTACCATCTGCGAGGTACAACTATATTAGATAATGTTGCAGCAGTTTCAGATTCATTATCTAATTTAGATGCTACTAATCTTTGGCATATGTGTCTTGGGCATATGAGTGAAATTGGTTTGGCAGAATTAAGCAAGCGAGGATTGCTAGATGGACAAAGCATCGGGAAGCTCAAATTTTTTGAGCATTACATCTTTGGCAAGCATAAGAGGGTGAAGTTCGACACATCTACACATACTACTGAAGGTATTCTTGATTATGTGCATTCTAATTTATGGGGGCCTGCTCGTAAGACATCCTTTAGAGGTGCTCGTTACATGATGACTATCGTTGATGATTATTCGCGGAAAGTTTGGCCTTCGTACTGACAATGGGATGGAGTTCTGTTCTAAGATATTTAAATCAAATTGTAAGTCTGAAGGCATTGTGCGTCACTCCACCGTTCCTCACAAACCTCAACAAAACGGCGTAGCTGAGCGTATGAATAGGACAATTATATCAAAGGTCCGTTGTATGTTGTCTAATGCAGGTTTGCCCAAACAGTTTTGGGCGGAAGCCATTTCCATTGCTTGTTATCTTATCAATTGGTCACCCAGTTATGCCATTGATAAGAAGACTCCAATTGAGGTATGGTCTGGTTCCCCAGCAAATTATTCAGATTTAAGAGTATTTGGTTATACTACTTATACTCATGTTGATAATGGTAAATTGGAGCCTAGAGCTATTAAGTGCATTTTTCTTAGTTATCCGTCTGGTGTGAAAGGCTATAAGTTATGGTGTCCTGAAACTAAAAAGGTTGTGGTTAGTAGAAATATTGTCTTCCATGAATCAGTTATGTTACATGATAAACCTTCTACTAATGTTTCTGTTGAGAGTCAGGAGAAAGTAAGTGTGCAAGTGGAGAGCACTTGATCAGTTCGGGCATGCACTCTGAGAAACTAACTCGTGACAGAATCCAATGACCTGCCACGGATACACAAACAAATGAAGAACTAACCAGCTAAATGTGACAGGCTTAGTCTAACAAACTCATGAACGTAGATGCTTTGGTGCAGCGGCCTTTGCTAGCGCCGCTGCTTTTCGGGTTTTAATTTCTTGATGCAATACAAAGAAAAGAATGCATGAATACCATGGCCTTAATCACAACACATGAACACGTACGCACGATCCACGCACCCATGCACAACTAATAACAGAACGAAAATGAACAACTCAAGGCATAAAAGCAGCAAACTCAAAGTTCAAAAGAAAAAAGAAACGAAAACGCAGAATGTGTTTGCTCGGACGATCGATAGAGCTGAGTCAGATTGGAGTACCGCATCCGCATCCCATTCCCCACATGAGTCCCTTGATGAACTTCCCCGCGACGATCCCGGCGCAGACTGCGCCTTGACCGGCGTCGGCGCCGCCGCACAAGCACGTCGTGTCGTCGCCGTTGCCGTCGCCGTCGCGGCCCATGGCGCACTGGAGGCAGAGCTCGACGTCCGGGCACGCGCTGCACCGGTACGACCACGCCGTTTCGCCGCCGCCCCTGTGTCGAACGTTGAGGCACTTGCGGCGGCGGCCGTCGGCCGGCGGCGGCGCAGCCGCGGTGCCTGCTCCGACGGCATACGTACACGTGGGAGTAGCCGTCGAGGCTCCTCGCGCACACGTCGCAGCTGCTGCCCGCGGGGACGACACCGCCGCCGTCGGCGCGGGCGGTGAGGTCCAGGCGGTGGCAGGAGAAGTGCCTGATCGTGTTCGGTCAGCGGCGGAAGCAGGCGTCGTGGAGGAAGAAGGCCGGGCACTCGGCGGCGGCGCAGCGGTAGGCCATCTCGCCGAGCTTGATGCGGCGATGGCAGAGCCCGCACATCGCCCCCTGGGTCGAGCACTTCTCGCGCCTGAGGCGGTGGTTGGGGTGAGACGGGTGGGAGTGGCCGCTTCCCATGGCTAGCTAGCTACTCTGCAGCTGAATTCTTTCGAAAACTTCAGCTCGTCGATCGAAACAGCCAATATTCTTCTTATTCAGATTCTTTCGAAAACTTCAGATAATCTTGCGCTAGCTGTTTGGTTCGATAAAAAATCTTGAGATCGATCTCCAAACAAAACCGCGCGCTGATCTCTAAAGTATAAGCAGCTGGAAACAAAATCTTCAGTGCTTTTCTTTTTCTTCTTTAATTTTTGGAACTCGATGAAGCTCAGCTGATCGTTGGGTTGGCGTATATATATAAGTCCCGTGCATGCATGACTGATTAGCAAGAAGCTCAGGTGTAGTAATTATTAAGGTGCACGTTCTCAAATTCAAACATTTTGATTAGGGCAAAACCAAACCAAAAAAAAAACACGTTATACTAGTAATAGTCCACACGGGCTGGCTCGATCGACGCCGCGTCGATAGATCGATCCATCGATCGGGGGACGTACGTACATCCATGGAACGAACACCTCAACGACAACAACGCCATTCCATCTATAGCTAAGCTAGCTACCCGGCCCTCCCCCACGCTTTGAGTTTCGCGCGTTAAGTCCATGCAAGTTGGGTGAAAGCTACAAGTGTGATGATGATGTATAAATTTAGTAGTGTGTGCTGAATAAATTAATACTCCTTCCTTACTATATACTCCCTCCGTTTCAAAATGTTTGACACCGTTGACTTTTTAGTACGTGTTTGACCATTCGTCTTATTTAAAAAAATTTAAATAATTATTTATTTTTTTCATATCATTTGATTCATTGTTAAATATACTTTCACGTACACATGTAGTTTTACATATTTCACAAAATTTTTTGAATAAGACAAACGGTCAAACATGTGCTAAAAAGTCAACGGTGTTAAATATTTTGAAACGGAGGGAGTATATACAGAATTTACTTTAATTTCTCAGTGTGCCTGCTAGCTTGTGTGGTTGTGGATTGGGGAACACAGCTTGCTTAATTTAGCTGCATTGTGTTTTAAGGCCTCTTCAACCCTGATCAGGACCTGTGTGCTGGTATAGCTACCTAGCTAGATAGGGTTGACCTGGCTCAGAGTGGTATGTAGGCCTCGAGTCACCTAGCTACGTCTTGACCGCAAGTCAACCATATAGGTCAAATCAATATATTCGAATTTTGTGAAAAGTAGTTATTAAGACAACTTATGAACGAAATTGTTCATTTGATTTATTTGTAATGTTATGACATACTATTACCATGTTTATAGCATATTTTAATTAAGCAAACTTGGTACATGTATATATTAAAATTACAGTGTTATTACTCTCTCTGTTTCAGATTATAAGTCGTTTTTACTATGATCGAAACGGAGAGTAATGAAAGCAAGTTTAAAATGCCTACCTTCCCTGGTCCGTTACTCGGCCCATTGTGTCAATACCACTACAAAACTAAACTGGTGCCTGATCGAGCTAGGGTTTCGATCATCAGCCACTCCGCGCTGCATCGCGATGGGGCGACGAAAGCAGCAGCGTCAGGAGGCCGCCGACGACGACGACGTCTACGTCGCTAGGTGAGAACAATCTTATCTCGCTAGCTAGAAATGAAATTAAGAACAAATTAAGGAAATCCCTTGCCAAAGTCGCGTCCATCATCTTTATATTTTGATGATTGCTTGGCAGAAATCTTAGGGGGATGCCGTGGTTAGTTTGGTTGCTTTTCGAGACGCCCTCCGGATTCGCAATATTTTCCTTCAATAGCTACATCTTCGAAGAAGAGAATGCAATCGAGGTAATATATTGTGCGTCTGCGTTTTAAATATTTCTAATTAAGTTTCCTGCCAGCCTTACTGGTTTCTTGCTTCTACTCATGCAGCACATTTGGGCCAACTTCGTCATGGACTATATAGCAAAAAAATATGTTAGTATATCTCTCTCTGTAGATCTCTAATTTGGTTTTTCTTGTTTAAATTTTTTTCATGCGTTGAGAGAATCGTCGACATGATTACTTGGGGTTGTTAAACTTTGTTATGTCAACAAGTGCTCAATAATTATGATAAATTAGTTAGCATAAGACGTGACTCTAGCTAGTGTGATGCTGCTAGTTTTTTAAAAAATTAAAATTGATTTCCTAGCAATGCACTATGTATCAACACCTAATGCAATTTCCTACTGTAACAACCTGTCGCTGCTAGAGGGATGTGATCCTTAAGACGGTACACTGGCTGCTTTTCCAAAACTAGCTAGAAACCATTTTTTATTGTAACATATGGACCAATTCCGAGGTCTGCTGAAAGACTACTCGATCTTGATAAAATTAAAGACTGGATTTGTTCTCTCCTGCCACAGTTGAGAATTGAGACATTTTGCATGTTGGTTGAACTCTATCTATCTATCTCTAAATCTCTCATAGTGGTCATCTTTTTGTGCTTTTTCAGCTCTGGCTGAAACAATTTCAAAAGTTTGAGGACAAGTCTGCTGCTATTAATTGTACTACTGGTCTTGGTGAAGAACTGAGAGATATGCTGAAGATTTGGTGCCGTCGTGGGGAGAAGCTAATGGTTGGAAGCCAAGAATACAAAGAAATAATCGAAGCAGATCAGGAGCTGAAGGTAATCAATTAACTACATGAGTACGTGAATAACATCGATTACATTTTTCACTGGTCTTTGCACTTGCAGGGAGTAACATGCCTGCATAATGATTGTGATGGAGGTGATGTGGGGGATCAAGAATCTCATGCACATTTTAGTGCCTGAAGAACAAAAGGTGCTGACCAAGGAGGAGCGCCTCCCAGTGAGTAAAGGATTATAAATGATCCTGCACCGTTATAAATTTGATGTTAAGCCAGTGATGGTGAATTTTTGTTCACAGCATGTCTTTACCTGTACATATCTGTCATAGCTAGTGTCATGTACTGATTCAATTTTGGATTGAAACCCTTATTGTTGATCAGTTCTTTTTGCTTAACAAAAGACTCTCCACTCCGCAGTTCTTCTAGAAACTCATTTAGCTATTAATCTGTATTGCCTATTCATTAGAGTTTTTGAGGTTATTCTTTAAATTTAAGGAAAGAATGATGTATCCCACTGTGGCATATATAGGGATGTGTTTATCTTGTTCTCTGCAAATATGTTATCTTTTCAATAAAAGGGCAGGGCATTTGGTCTTAAAAAGTAATGTGTGCCCTTTTGTGTTCATCCAGATCAACAATGATATAGTGGAAACAGCTTGCTACTTATATCATTGTGACTTTCTTGAAAAGAGGCATTCCAAGGGCCTTCACATGTCAGATTATCACCTTCTGAAAATATCTGGGTTGAACAGTTCCGAATGGGATACTATGAAACTAGTAACTGCTCTGAAGAAGATAACTCGCCCTGGAGAAGAAATTGAGCACCCCCCTGAGGTGAACAATAATACTTCTACTGTTAAGACATGTTTCATATATACCTGTAGGCTGGATTGAAGTTTAATTTGTATATTTTTTCCTTTCAGATGTTTTCATCAGATGAGCTATTAAAGATAGAGAAAGATGCAGATAAATACAAGGATAAGATCTATAAGACAGCTGTCTCTGAGATCTGGAATGACTTAGTGTGTTCTTACAGTATCAAGAAGGAAAAGCTGAGACACATGCAATTCTTGGTTGAGGCGGCGGAGGGAGGTCAATCAAACTGGTAATGATTGAGGTGTTTCACCATTGAAGAAATTTCCTTATTACTCCCTCCGTTTTTAGATTGTAAGACTTTTTTGCATTGCTCATATTCATTTAAAAGTTAATGAATCTATACACATATGTATATGCCTAATTCATAAACATCTATATAAATATGGGCAATGCTAGAAAGTCTTACATTGTGAAACGGATGAAGTATGATGTAATATAGCTGGTTGCTGGTTTAAACACAGTTGTGATGTATGGAGAATGGAGCAAAAATTTGAACAATTGGGGTTTTAATTAGCCGTATTATCTAGGCAGACATAGTTCTGTTATTTTGGCGACCTATCGTTATTGGTTACTTCCTCTGTTTAAGGTTATAAAACTTTCTAGTATTGCCCACATTTATATAGATGTTAATGAATATAGGCACACATATATGTCTAGATTCATTAACATACATATGAATATGGGCAATGATAGAAAGTCAGCTTGTTGATAAAAAATATTGTTCTTAGATAGTTGGATTCCTCTGTTTCAATTTTTTTTTCTCTTATGGGTCATTTCACTACAGATAGACAATCTATCTATTTTACAGGTATCTCTTTTTTTTTAGATCTAGATGATATTCTTAAGACGAAACAAAAACCTACTTCTCTGGGATACTGTAGCTTTAAAACCAAGCTTCAGTACAGAAAAAAGAGAATACCAAAATCTTATGTACATATTTCGACCACTACAACCACTTTGCCTTCTTCGATTTCCAGTTGCAATAATTTAGATGGAAATAAAGAAACTGCATTCCTTATATACACATTTCTAAACAAATCACCAGTCTTTGGTTTAGAGGTATGATGCTCATGACAAGGTTTGTGCACAACAAAGCTGATTAGGTTGGATATAGATGAAATCAAAATGCGATGCCTGAGAGCAAGTCACAGATGCATAGAATTGCATGCCACAGTATCCACCATAACAGCTACTTCATCCGTTTCATATTCAAAATTATCATATTTGTAAAAGTATATCAAAATTGTAACATTCATGTGCTAAATGTGGGCAAATTCTCAGTCGATGAACAAAAATAGGAGAAGTGTGCAACATGAGTAAGGTTATGAATGTTTTCTCTCCAAAGATTTAACACCGTTAATATGTCCATCCAAAGTAGGGGCAAATTTTTTCTTCGTTTAAAAAACAAAACAAGGACAAAAACGAAAACCCTAAAAATAGTGGCAAAATCTATATTGGACATCAAAGTAGAGGCAAGAACGAAATTGCCCCCCTTTTCAAAAAGGTGATATTTCACATTCCATAATAAATCACAATGGCACATCTCGGTATGTACATCCAACCATCCTTCATGGAAACTAGTGGACCTACTTCAGGTTCTGAGATGATACAAAAAAACAGAGAAAGAAGCAACTCGATATGATGGATATACAAACTTACATACTATGCATGAATCATCTGCAAACAAAAACCAAGCCGTTTGCAAGATGAATATAAATAAGAATAGCCTACGCTAAGAGAATCCGGCAACGAAATGGTATATATATAGGAGAAGAAAAGGAGCAGGCACATCATGTTGCTGAAGCTTCAGAAGAACCCATAGGCTACTTCACGCCACAAACTTGGGTCATTGAGCAACACAAGCTGGGAGAAGCCTGGAGCCGGGTTACTCTTGACTTCACAACGGGCGTGGTCTGTGTCACAGAAGAAATGCTACTGAAGTGAGGGCTTTTTCCCCACCAGATTTTATCTAGTATAATCTTCTAACAACACAAGAATCTCGTCGTCGCTTGTTCCACCGTCGATGGCACACTGTAATGCCGTCCTGCCATCTTGGTCCGCAACTTGTGGATTAGCCCCCCTGCATAAATTTTGCGGAGCGAAGAAAAGTGAGACCACCTTTATGTAGTTGATCTTTTGCAGTGGACTAGTCTTTGGATTAGGGGGCATATTGCAAGATAAATGCTGAAGATGTAAGTACTGAAATACCTGGAGAGTAGAAGCTTAGCATGTATGTGTCTTCCTTTCAATATACACTGATGAAGGGGTGTCCGGCCTCTTGAATCAATTGCATTTACATTAGCTCCGTACTGCAAAAGTAATTCAACCATTCCAACATCTGCAACATGACATGCAAGATGAAGCAACGAGAAACCTTCGCATCTTTCTTCCCCATCATCTACACGTGAACTTGTGCTGGCAGGAGAAAGGGGCTCTCTAGGAGAAACTTTTTCATGTGAATGGCAATCGAAAAATACAGGGCTTCCATCAGATGGTGAGGAAGAGTGCTCTTGCTGAGATGATCTTCCAGTAGTCGAACGTGAACTATAGGACATCTCTCCATAAACTAAATTTACATTGGCGCGGGATTGCACGATGAGACTGTATACAGCTCTCTTGTCATTTGCAGTTACATTATCCCACATCTGCTGAGCTAGCTGAATCTCATCCATGCTATACTTTCGTACAAATTCCTTGTCAGCATACTGGAATTTTTAAAACATAAAAAACTCAGTATATTTTATGCAATTGAAGGAGCACCTAAGCTCAACTTACAAGTAGGACAATAATAAATAATAAACCTATTGACAAAGCATTATAGATTGTCTGGCTCATGAGTTGTAATTTTCAATAATCTCTTGGGAACTTGAACATAAGGTCCATGATAGTCAACTGACTATCACAGTGACTAAAAACTTATTCTTATTTTGTTAAACTACAAGTGCACTATCAAACATGTGATGTAACCAAAATGGTATTGATTTATATGCAATGCTACAGTTTTCAGGATTACAGTTTTCCCCTTTTCATTGTGATTGTTTGCCAATATGTATCATAGCATCAGACGACAACTTAGGTCACATATATGATATGTGGCAGAAAATAAGTCCATGAACAAGATAAAAGAGTTTTTAGGGCAAGCAAATGAAGTAAAACTACCTGTCAAATTAATAATAAGTCCAACCCATGGGTAATAAAGAACCAAAGCTGCATATGAGTATGTTGCCTCTACATCAGCCTAAGTTAACCTCAACCAACATCCTTTGTTTTCTCTTGGTTAGGTTTGCAGCCATTCACAAGATCATGGAGTGAGGCTCACACAAGCACACATACAAAGACCATAGAAGGCCAATGTATTCGCATGATATGTGATTATGTGCAGAGGCACTGTCAGCAGGGAGTTCCTTGCTTGATAATTTTCATGCGAAGGAAGCCACTTTGTGATTCTAGAAAAGACATAATGTCCTCTGTAATTGTGAGTACACTGCTTGTATAAAACAACTAAAATATTTTCCAATTCCAAGAGTAACTATGGTTTAGTGTATGTTATTCATGTGGTTGGCATTCACTTTTCCTACCATCATACCATCCTATGTAGTGGACTGGCAGGGAGTGGGAAAATTTTGGGGATGAATAAGTAAAGAAAACATAAGCACTGAAGTTGTATATACTGTTGCAAAGCCATCTCTCAAATATATGTGAGGTGTTGAATCAAGAGAGGACTTATTATGAAATTCTTCTAGATCACTGCTAATCATTATGGAAAGAGAGTCATGGTTAGACAAGGAAGTGCCTTTACTCCTGAGAAGTTAACTATCATGAATCATGTTTATCCAATCATTCTTGCAATGAACATCCATAAAGACCATTTGGTTCTCACATTACTTTTACTGATCATGAAACTCAATTGCAAAAAGGTAGTAAGTACCTTGGCATGGATAAACTTCTCTTTGGCAGAGAAAGGATCTGAGTGTTTAGGCTTGCTGACAGTGAAGTGCCATGCCGTATCTAATCCATGAGCGCTGCGGAACAATGTAGTGCTGATTAACTGGAAAGAAATAGATAAGGCAGTAAAAACATGTAAAGTAATTTACAACAATTGTAATATTACCGCAACTTGTCATCAGATTCACCATTTTTTGACGAAGGTAAAACTTCTTCCCAAACATCATTGACAAACTTGTTGCCTAATGATTGAAAGAGATTGATTACAGATGGTTCCCACACTCTGACATCAAGCGTCAGAGATCTTACCTGCCAATATAATGTACACTTAAGTTCTATAAAATAGTTAATGATACTAAAATGACTAAACCAAAATGCACAACGACATTTGAATATTCAATGAAATATATAGGCACTGTTAGAATCTAATTGGTGATATGCATATACAAATTGATGTCAACCATAAGAAATTATTCCTATAATCTGCAACAACAATAATTGTACCATGAGGCCGAGTTTCATCTAAAGACCACCAGAAAGCTGTTTAAGAAAACAGAAAGAATGATGCAAGCAATATATGTATTTTCAGTAAGGGAAAAAAATGCTCCTATAGCAGTCCTTGGGAATATGTCCGCAAAAATACAACTCACAAAATGCTTTGCGTTTCTAAGAGCTTTTAGTTCTTTGTTTTGGACTAATTTGCTGTTACAATTTTGAGTCTTTTGTTGTTTTAACCCTCTTATTGGCCAAAGAATAATCATCATTTTTTGCCCCAGGTAGCATATTGGCCAAAAGGACAATCATTGTTTTGCCCCATGTAACATAGTCCCCAAGCATGCCATGTAATACACAAAAAGCTATGATGTTCTAGACTCAAATATTACAAATGCAGACGTAGAAAGTGATCTGCATGGAATTTCACACAAGGAGACAGGAGAATGTACAGTTAAAATTATCTTAATTACCTTTGATATATGCACTCCGAGATTTCTGTGTACCCCAGAGCACTCTATGCACAGAAGTGCACCAAGGTTTAATGATGCCCAATCAGGTTCCATAGAACCACAATCAACACAAATGATATTGCCATCAACTTTCCTAAGCAAATCAATTGGTTTTTCAGGTTTCATGTTAGTCTTGTGATAATGTGTGCCTCTGACATCATGTTGCCCATTTCCAGTGTTCTTTTCCAATGTTAAGTCATCATACATGGAAGGTTCCAGATCCTGGCTAGTAAAGGAGCTACTTTCACTGGCACTGCCATCATGGCCACAGCTCTTAGGGCTTAGCAGAAAACACTGAAACAGAAGTACAGACCATCACATTTTGGTAAACGAAAATTCAACATGTCAAATACATAAACAATAAAATCTGGGTCATCGAATAGTGACCTGTTCTGGGGATTGTGAGCTAAGCAAAGATGCAATGACACCAGTAATCTTTTCAATCCAATCCATTTGATCTATTGCACTCTCTGCCTGCTCAAAAAATAGATGGTGTCACTTAAATAGGAAATATCGAATTATATTCGACATGAAGACAATATCATCTTCAATATTGTACTCATACCTGTAGTGTGTAGACCTTTGTGGGTGAAATTATTCTGAAGCAGAACCTCAGATCTGATTGTTCTGCATCCACTTTAATGGTTGATGTCAGCAAATTTACAGTATGCCGTGCAACAGATTTCTCATCATGTATAATGCCATGGTAATGAGATGAGAATAGTCTGCTCAGCAACCCAGAACCATGTTCAGTGGGGTTGCCAATGCTTCTTGGGTGACTGGAACAACCAC